AGTATTTCATTTTTTTTAGCCTTGTTTTTGAGACAGGATCTCTGCCTGTGGCAGTGCTGTTATCACAGCTCACCGCAGCCTGGAACTCTTAAGCCTGTCCACAGTTCACTTGTTTACACTGTGACACTGCTAAACATGATCATCAAACATTTAAAACCCACCAGAGAATTTAAAAAAGAGTCCCTAAAAGGAAGTCCTAGTGAAAGGACTTGAATTTAAAGGCATAATCTCTCCTAAGTAATTTCATGAATGTGCTGTGTTTTTGTGTTTGGTTTCCTAGAGAGCTACGTCTGTATTCAGAATATGAAGAATGCTTTCACAGAGAAATGCCCACACCAGGCCAGTCTAAGGGGCACGAATCTGGGATACGTGAAGCTGAGTTTAGTCACGTTTCTGTACATGGCACAGAACATTCTTGACTTTTTACCAGCAGTGCAGTGACACAAGACAACCACTAGTGGTCGCTGACGGCCCACGCCTTTGGCGCATGGTTTGCTCTCTGGGCTTTTGAGGCGTGCCTGCCAACGCATTGGGCCTGTGATGTGCACTTTTGCTCTAACTGAATAGCATTTTACTTTGAGTGAAGATTTTTAGGTGTAAATAGGGGAAGAATACGAGGCAGGAGGGCTGAGATCAAAAGTTTGAGACCAGCCTGGGCAACGTATGGAGGGCCATTTCTACAAACAAACACACACTAGCTGAGTGTGGTGGGTTACACCTGTAGTTCTAGTTATTTGGGAGGCTGAGGGAGGAAGACGGCCCGAGTCCAGCAGTTTGGGGTTACAGTGAACCGTGATTGTTGCACTGCACTCAAGCCTGGCTGACAGAGAGAAACCTGGTATAAAAAAAATCAACAAATAAATGCATAGAAGAATGGTTAACCAGACCTTTTCCTTTGTCCTGTACACGTCTGGACTTTAGGGCTTTGACTGGCCCTCTAAGCCCCCTTTTCAAATGTCTTTAATAAAAATTAAATAACGGAACTTGTGCTCAAGGTGTACAATACATGATTCTCTTCACATTCATCACGGTGGGAAGGATATCGGACCCAGGGTTGGGAGACCTGAGATACCGTCTCAGCGGCCCCTTCACAGGTCTAGTATACACTGAATTAGCGGTGCCTTTACTGATCTGCTCTACACTGCAGGCATGTGAAGAGATAGTGTGGCAGTTTCCATGAAAACCCTACTTAAGGAAGTGTCCGGAGGATCTGGAGACCCATTGTTGGTACTAGTCTAGGGTGACTGAATTTTGAGAGATTGACTCTCAACTAACTACAAGGGTACCTGGGACCCTGGGAGACCTGGAGCATCAGTTTATTAAGTTATGCTACATGGAAGTCAGATCTTACAAAGAGGGCTAGGAAGTGGCGTCACAGCCAAGAAATATGGACAGTGTTAGCAAAAGTCTCAGCCAAGACAGCTTGGGGGTGTCCCCACTGTACAGGCAGCCTTGCCAGCCGCCCTGCATCTTCAGAGCCTGTGGCCCAGTCCAGCTCCAGTCCCTGTGGGCTCCCCATCGTCCCATCACCTCTTGGCTCCCAGGTCTCTGCTTCCGTGGCTGGCTGACTTCCTCTGCGTGGACAAGCCCTTGCTTCACTTACGGCTAATTCATGCACACAGGTCTCTGCTTCTGTGACTGTCTGACTGCCTCTGCGTGGACAAGCCCTTGCTTCACTTACGGCTAATTCATGCACACAGGTCTCTGCTTCTGTGACTGTCTGACTTCCTCTGCGTGGACAAACCCTTGCTTCACTTACGGCTAATTCATGCACACAGGTCTCTGCTTCTGTGACTGTCTGACTTCCTCTGCGTGGACAAGCCCTTGCTTCACTTACGGCTAATTAATTCACACAGATCACACTGTTGCCAGCCTCCCTCAGGTGGCCTTTTGTACATCTAAGCTGGGATCAAATAGACAGTGAACTTATGAGATAATGGTAATAATAACCTACTTATTTAGATTTCATCTCTGTCAAAGGCACCCCTCAAGCCCATCTATGTGGCCCAGAACAAACACTGACAGTCACTGATTTCCATGGGACCTGCAGTGCCTGGCACTGTGCTGAGCACTCTGCACAGATAGTCTCACTCCGCCCTCCAGTCCCCAAGGAAGCTTTGAGGACTAGTCCACTTTGAGGATGAAGAATCTGAGAATCTCATTAAAGGACAAGGTGGAGATGAAATGTGAACCCAGGAGGTTCCACTCCCTGACAGCAGCCATAACTTGGGAGCTCTTCTTGCTGTTCAGTGCCTGAGTTCTGAAATCTGGCTTCACAAACACCTCTGTGAGTGTGACCCGCTGGTGATTCAGGCAATGTTGAATCCTGATTGTTTGAATATTCATGGTTAGAGTGTCAAATGTTAAGAGTCGTAAGTGCAGATTTCATAACTGCTCCTGCAATGAGTCCAAGTTGCTTGGGTTTTGAATTTTATGTTGTACTTAGTACAAAAGCTACTATTTTATAAGGAAACAGCTGAAAATATGCAGTCAATGGACCCTGGTGATGAAATGCCCCCCAAACACAATGGCTCACTCAAAATAGGAACATATTTTTATGAAATAGTTTCCATAGGTGGCACCTGTTAGCTCAGTGGGTAGGGTGCTGGCCACATACACTCAGGCTGGCAGGTTTGAACCCGGCCTGAGCCTGCTAAATAACAATGACAACTGCAACAGAAAAATAGCTGAGTTTTGTGGCAGGCGCCTGTAGTCCCAGCTACTTGGGAGGCTGAGGCAAGAGAATTGCTTAAGCCCAAGAGTTTGAGGTTGCTGTGAGCTGTGAGGCCATGGCACTACCAACGGCAACATAGTGAGACTCTGTCTCAAAAATAAAAAAATAGTTTCCATAAATCAAACTCATATGAATATAGGATGAAGATTTAAGATTGCAAAAGCATGAGCTCTGGGCAGTCCCGTTATCATAACAGTAGCTGGGTCTTTGTACACTTACTTTGTAGCAGACATTTCTTTATGCTATCTACCCACATTAACCCACAGGGTCACCAAGAAACCTATGAGGTAGACACCGTGTTTTAATCCTAGTTTTATAAATGAGGACAGGAGGCCAAGAAAGGTGAAGTAACTTGGTCCCACAGCTAATTAGTGGCAAAGCCTGAATTTGAACTCAGGCAGCTGCCCGTGTTCTTTTCTTATCACTGAGCCTCCCAAGTGGTAGGTGGCCTCTGTGCTGAACACTCTGGCTTGTCTCACTGAACCATTTGTTTGTACACTTGACTTTTTCAGATCTCAGGGAAATGTAACTATCTCCTCAAGGTCAGACTGCAACTGACACCCCAGCGTTAGGGGCGGCCTTGGGAAAGCTCAGTAGCTGCGATGCACACCTTAGATTTTAGAAGGCTGAGCAGGGAGTTTTTGAGTTTGCCGAAATCCTTTACACTCTTGAATCTCATGATGGGGGAGGAGGCAGGTCTCGGTGAATGGATAGAGGGACATGGTAAGATAAACCACGTGTTTCAAAGGGACCTAAAACTGCGTAATATAAATTCAGCCCAAGGAGGACGTCCCTATCTGCTAAACAGTTGCGGGTAACACCCGGTGACAGTGACGATGACGGCCACCCGAGAAAGCACCCACTGTGGCCAGGCAATTGTCTCAGTGGGATACGGATTTAACTTATTTACAATGACCCGGAGCCCTCAGAAATGGGACACACAAGCCCTTTGGGAATTTTCAGAGACTGGTCATCACAAGGCCTCGTTGTGACCAGGAAGGGTTCCCAGCCGAGCCTGGTGAGAGCACTGGCCCCCGTCCTGCCCCCGCCCCCGTGTGAGGCCCGTGCAGCGCTTCCCTGCACCCACCGCCTAACACGTGTGTCGACAGTTGTGCAAATTAAATGAGCCGAAAGCACGTCAAACCATTTGCGTGACACAAGCACAGATCGGTAGCCACGAGCTGCTGTCTTCGGCACCCTGTCACAGCCAGGCGCCTCTGGTGACTTTCCACCTCGGGAAAGCGCCTCTCCCTTCTCATCAGTGTGGCTGCGTCTCGCGTCCCCGGGCAGTTTCCAGTCCTACCGCCCTGGGCCGCAGGGCCTGAATCGGGAGCACCGGGAACGAACGAGAGGCCAGAAGCCGAGGAGGGACGAAGAGAAACGGAGACCCGGTCTTGCAGACCCCTTCTCTGCAGCAGAAGAGAAAATCTCTCGCCAACCTGCACCCGCGCGGCGTGCGCTCCCTGTGCGCTCTCGGAGTCCTGGACCGGGACCAAACCGCCCAGCGCGCACCCGCTGGTCCGGGCCTGCGGGCTGCCCCAGCCCCTCCGGTTAGTCCGTTCCCTCCCCGCCCCGCTCGGACCCCGCCCCGCGATTGGCCGCTCGACCCGGGGCCGTCGCTGATTGGCGCAGCTGGCGGGGGCTGCGAGGTTTAAAGAGGGGGCGGGGTGCTGCCCGGCAGCTCCGCTGCCTGCCGTGCGCCTGGTCCCGTCCGGTCCTAGCCGCGCGGCTGTCCCTATCCGGCCGTGCTCCCCAGCTGTCTCTGCTGTCCCGCCGTGCACCCGCCGCTGTCTCCCCGTGTGTCCCAGCTGTCTCCAAGAGGTCCTCCTCCGGTTGTCGCCTGCCAGCGGCTTGGGAGTCGGAGAGGTACCAGGGCAGGCGCTGTCCAGCCCGAGCCGGAGCACAGCTGTGAGGGTCGAGGCGCGGGGACGTCCTGGCGGCCACCATGGTGGCCACGTGCCTGCAGGTGGTGGGCTTCGTCACGAGCTTCGTGGGCTGGATTGGCATCATCGTGACCACGTCCACCAATGACTGGGTGGTGACCTGCGGCTACACCATCCCCACATGTCGCAAGATGGACGAGCTGGGCTCCAAGGGGCTGTGGGCTGACTGCGTCATGGCCACCGGGCTGTACCACTGCAAGCCCCTGGTGGACATCCTCATTCTGCCGGGTAAGGACCCCGACCTTCCAGAGGCTGCTCCTGAACCAGCGTCCTCTGGGTGAGGCGGCGTTGGTAGACACATTTAGGGGGGTTTGACGCGCCAGTCCCACCTCGCTGTAGAAGTAGGCAGCCCCAACTTAACCTCTGTCGCCATTGTGTTCTTGTTTGGAACTCTAAGTAATAGTGGTGACTTGGCCAGTGGTGACACCAGCGAGTCGCCCGGAGCGTTTAATTAACCGGGACTAGACAGGCAGTAGGGCGCGCGCAGAAGTTAACACTCTTGTCCCGCAGCGCCTCGAGTTCTGTAGGAAACCCTCAGAGCCGAGGAGAACGAGAAACGCGAACTTTTGAGGGTGTGCACAGCGCAGCCCATCGTCCGGTCCTGGTGGGACAGCCGCGGCGCCCTGGCCGGGTGAGCGCCCCGCCTAGCTCTGCCCATCCTCAGCAGAGCGAGTCCCTTCCGAGGGCATTTCTGGGCTGCGCAGGTTACCAGGTCGGTTCCGCACGTTGCAGGGCCGCGCTACCTTCCCCGCACCTCCCCCGCACCGCAGTTGTCTGCAGCCCCCTGACTGGGGTGGGAGGCAGCCGCAGACCGTGTGGGAGACGCAGCACCGCTCACCCTCCCCAGCTACGTCCAGACCCGAGCGGAGAACAGACAGGCCTTCTCCTTGCCGGCCGCCACGGGCCACATCTTCACTTGCTGTTCTGGGAAACATTCTAGGCGACAGAAATTAAACCATAAGCTAGTGGGGCAACCGGCGAAGTGGCGGCAGTCTCTGTCCTGCAGGAAGGCGGAGCCCGGCTCTGGCCCCTACAGGCCGCCTCTGTCTCCTGGCCGTGTGGGTTGCCGGCATTTAAGGGCACGTCTCCGTCGTTCAGGTGGGGAAGAACCCGCCCCTCTGAGCCTCCTCCCAGGAGAGTCTTCCCCTCACCAGGGACTCCCTGAATTGACCCTGACTCCCCAGTCCTCGCAGTTGGAGGCAATCCCCATGTTCCTGCTCGTTGCCCTGGCTCTCATTCCCACCAGGGCACATTTCATTGTTTGTGAGTCAAGGCGTGCCTCTACGCCTTACATCCCCTGAGCGCATAGGTGGGGTGCCCTCATCCCCACTGCGTCCTCACTAGCCTTAAATCCCTTGAGCACATAGATGGGGTGCCCTCATCCTCTTGGCCTCTGCTTCTGGGCCCAGCTTTGCCTCTGGCACATGGAGGTCACAGTGCTGCTCAGACTTGCCCTAGACCATCTTTTCTTCACTTTGGACTCTCAGAAGGACAGACTTGGGGACCCATCCTGGACCCAGTTTTGGTTAATGCTGGGTGGGAAGGCCTGAGTCAGAGGATCTGTGCTACATTATGGGACAAAGTACTTATCTCCTTGAACCCCAGTTGCCGTCTTTTAAAAAATTAAAATCAGGCTGGGCGCCTGCAGCTCAGCAGCTAGGGCGCTGGCCATATACATCGGGGCTGGTGGGTTTGAAACTGGCCTGGGCCTGCTAAACAACAATGACAACTACAACAAAAAAATAGCTGGGTGTTGTGGCAGGCGCCTGAAGTCCCAGCTACTTGGGAGGCTGAGGCAAGAGAATTGCTTAAGCCCAAGAGTTTGAGGTTGCTGTGAGCTGTGAGGCTATGGCACTCTACTAAGGGCAACATAGTGACTCTGTCTCAAAAAGTAAGAAAATTAAAATCAAACTAATCAAACTATCTATCTTTCATAATTATTTGAAGATTAAATAAGAAATGCTAAACTTTTTTTTTTGCAGTTTTTGGCCAGGGGCAGGTTTGAACCCACCACCTCTGGTATATGGAGCCAGAGCCCTACTCCTTTGAGCTGCAGGCACCATCCCAAGAAATGCTAAACTTTTTTGATGTAGAGTATGCTTCATAAGTGGTAGCCACAGTATTTTGTTTAAAGCTAGGCATGGTATTTGTAGGGGCCTTTAGCTGAAGCATAAAGCTACTCTCAGCTTCATTCCCCTGAAGTTAAGTTGACTGAGCATTCAGTGCCAAGTGGTTTGTTTTCAGAGAACAAAGACCATCTCTCAGCGGGGAGCACATTTTAGGGAGGGCCTGATCTTCCTACTCTCCCATCCCTCCTACTGTGGGTGGGGGCAGGAACAGGCGTCCTCCCTCTTATGGTTTGCAGGCATGGCCTTGGTACTGTGGCACGTGGACAGCAGTCTTGGCCACTAGCTGACGGCCTCTTTTTGTCAATGCTGGCTTTCCTAAGAGCTCCGAGGGCACAGGGCTGGGTCAGGCTGAGCTGTAGACTTCCTGTGGGTCCCCTGGGTTGGGGGGTCTTCAAGTTAGCAAGTCCTGGTTCATTGATCATCTTTGATTCTAAAGGAGCTGAGAAGGACAGTGGTTGAAGAGGGCCCTTGTGAAGTCTCAGTTCTGGCAAAAACATACCTTGCTAACAGGCAGAGTTGAGGTTAGGTCTTTGTCAGCAAGTTGGGGTCCTGGTGCATGAGGAAGAAGTTGGGGCTAATTTTTTGGCGTTGCCACTAATTCTATCTCACCCTGTGAGTTAAAGAGGGAGAGAAATAAATGCCACCTTTTTTTTTTCTAAGACAGGCAGAGTGAGAAACGGTTAATGAGAAACGGTATATTTAAAAGGGGCACAGTAAATTTCAATTCATGCAATTTTTCTAGTATCATGTCAGATTTATTCTACATAAGTCTTGCAAATCTTGAACCCTGCTTCTTCATAAAGTTGTTATGTGGTGTTTTACTTGCTGTGTAAAGTTCAGTTAGTTTTGCTCTACTCTTTATTATGCAATTTACTGTTCCCTCACTTGGAATTGTTCCCATGATCTGTCGAGGGCACTGTGTAAGTCTCTTGGGTACCAAGGCAGGTGTCTGCCCTCCAGGAGTCCCAGGGGGTGGAGAGATGCCTTCTAAGCATCTCCCCGTGGGTGAGGCAGGGATGGAGCCCAGTGGTCTTATGGGAGGCAGGATCCCCAAGAGGGGGTTAGCCTAGGTCAGGGCCACACACAATTTGTAGCCAAGGTGAATTAAAAGCACATAGGTACACCTGGAGATGAAACTGCTGCACTGACACAGACCGATTACGCCGATGACAACAGCTGACCTTTCTTAGAGTGTTTAGTATGGGCGCCATTTTAAACTTTGCATCAACTAACTGACTTAATCTCCACTGCAATCCTGTGATAGGCGGTAGGTGCTATCACCAGTTTTACTCTGTGAATGAGGGAAGTGGGACATAGCTGGGTAGCTTGCCCCCAGCCACACAGGCAGAACGTGTCAACAGCAGATTGGAACCAGCATGCCCATCTCAGGAAACATGGGAAGACTGGAGTTTCCATTTGAATGTTCACAAGGTGATAGAATAATGTAAATGGACTGTGGGCCCTTTCATTTAATGTAAATGGACTGTTGGTCAAGTGGTCTGAAGGAGGGATCCCCATTTGTTCTCTTCAGCCCTGTTTTTTCCTGCTGAGCTGCTGAGAAGTTGATGGTGCAGGGTGACCTTGGGCAGCATGTTCTAGGTCCTGACACGGGGCAAGAGGGAGGCGGGGGTGGTGCTGAGTTCCCACTAGGCAGGGCCGAGAGGACCCCTGGCTTATCCCACCCTGTCTGCTCTCTCGTTCCCAGGCTACGTGCAGGCATGCCGAGCCCTGATGATTGCCGCCTCGGTGCTCGGGCTGCCGGCCATTCTGCTGCTGCTGACGGTCCTGCCCTGCATCCGGATGGGCCATGAGCCCGGTGTGGCCAAGTACAGGCGAGCCCAGCTGGCTGGTGTCCTACTCATCCTGCTGGGTAAGATGACTTTCTGTGTGGCCCTCACCTGAGTGAACTAGTGATTCTCAAATTTCATGGGTGGTGAATCTTTATTGAGTTCAAGACAATATGAAAGGAGGCTGAGTGAGTTGATGGGGGAAAGATCCCGCAATCTGTACTCCTGAAATTTCTCAGGCAGTTCACAGAGGGCTCAATGAACGTGAAAATTAGTTAATACAAAGAAAAATATTTTAAGGGTAGGAAGTACCTAAGGGAAAGACCAGAAGGACCGGAGAGAGCCCCCTGGTGGCCCCCAGGCTTCACAGTGGAATTCCTTTTAGAACACCTGTGCCCAGGTCCCACAGAAATTTGATTGAATCAGAATTTTCTGTGGATCAGGCCAGGCAAAGACATTTTTTTAAAGCTCCCCAGGGGATGCCTATGTGTGGCTGAGATTGATACCCTCAGTTAATATGTGAAGAAAGAATAGAGGAAGAGGAGGGGAGAGCAAACTGAAGTGTTGAGGGTGGTTGACCAGCTGGGCGTTCCTCCTTGTACCCAGTAAGTGTGCCCCGAGCACCTGGGTCAGGCCCTGTGGTGGGTGCTGGGGACAGTGAGGGGATAGGCAGTCTCTGCTCTGAGTGTACATGTACATCTTGATGGAGCACGGCAGATGAGCATCTAACAGGTACTCGGGCTGTGCAAACACACAGGAAGGCATGGATCTTAGACGAATTTCCAATGAGTTTGCAGAGCAGAGAAACCCAGAGAGGAGCCTGTGACATGAAGAGGAGGTGGCCAGGTCATGACTGGAGGAGGGACAGTCCAGGACCAGCAAATGTCATATGCTGGTTACATCTGTACACAAAAGGGCTCAACTTAACAACCTCCGGGGGTCTTTCTAGCTCTGTCCTCTCTAGTGATTTCATTTCTCCCCATTGTTTTTCTTGGATGCTAATTCTATCAGCACATTCTAAAATAGAGGATATAAATTATAACAACAGTGGCTCTTTTTGCAAAGTACATATATAAGTGAGAAGGAGCTGATTTGGATATGGGTGAAATATAAAGTCACATTCTCCAGAGATAAGGAATTCCTATCCCCAAATTGGCACATCAGATCATGTCCTTGAGAGGCAAGTGGAAGGGGCCTGTGTAAGTTGATGCCATTTGGTGATGGTCACCTCCCACCTGCAGCGTTCTCCCACACAGAGATGAGGCGAGGGGATGTGAGAGGTAGAGAGACAGTTCCCAGGAATGCAGAGGGATTTGGAGGGGTCTGTGAAGCCAGGGAGACTTTTGGGGGAGGCCCATGTGTGTGCACGTGTGTGTGAACAGAAGTGAAAAGACCACTGTAATTTCCAGAGGAAAACCTGGGTGTGGAAATTTTGATTCCAGCCACAACAAATTGGCCTGACAGTGTCACACTTGGGACACAGAGCCAGTGTCCTGGGTGATACTTTCCAGTGGTCAGATCTTTGTATCCAATTCCCTTTTCAACAGGAAGGCCAAAGCTCCAAAAGTCCACTGGGTTTGCCCAATACAGGTGAAGCCCTTTCCATCCTAGACACTTGGCTGTTGTTAGTTACTTCCTCTCACTCTCTCAGAGCCCCCAGAGGCTCTCCTGGGCTCTGCTGTCAGCAGACCCCAGAGGATGGCCTGTTGTGTTAGACACTCGTCCTTCCATACGAGTGCCACAGAGTTTCCACAAGAAAGAGAACATATTAAACAAACCCAGTGGAAAATAGTGGCACAGAAATAAAGCAAGAAGACAAATTGGTTTTTAAAAAGAAACCCTAAAGATGACTGAATTGTTTAGTTGAATAACCAGAGCTATGAAAAAAAACCAAACCAAAGCAGGCATGGTGGCTCATGCCTATAATCCTGGCACTTAGGGAGGCAGGCTGGGCAGGGGGATTGGAGGAGGCCAGGAATTTGAGACCAGTCTGGGCAGTATAGGCAGTGAGACTTTCTCTAGTCAAAGTAAAAACATCCCTATGGTACTGCTACTAGGGAGGCCGAGGAGGGAAGATCACCTGAGTCTGGGAGTTCAAGAATTTGAGGCTACAGTGACCATGATTGTGACACTCCAGCTTGGGCAAGAAAGGCACATGTCTCTAAATCCAAAAAGCAACCAGAGGTTTGACATTTCCTGGCTGAATTAGCTTTTCTTTGTCTTTTAAGAGTGGGTTGGGGTCGGTGCTTCAAAGGAGTAGGGTGCTGACCCCATATGCCGGAGGTGGTGTGTTCAAGCCCCGCTCTGGCCAAAAAAAAAAAAAGAGTAGGTTGGTGCAGGCAGACAGAGACATGGATGAGGAAGCAGGGCTGGGCCGTTAGGGGTGAGGCCCACAGTCCCTGTTTGTCTAGAGTGTGACCCTGGGGGAACCCAGGCATCCTCCATCCGACACCCTCCTCCCTCCCCCGCAGGGAGGCTGCACCTTGCTGGATGCTCACATCTGGATTGGATGAGGGCCCTCATGGCCTGTGCTCAGCCTTACATTTCCATTGGCTGCCTCCTCTTTGCCCTCATCTGCATTTATTTGTCTGGGGGTCTCTGCTGGCTTTTGGGCTGGATGCTGTCTTGACTGGAGTGAGTGAGCTCTGGAAATGTGAAGCCTCTTGTCTCACGATGCATGGCACCTGTGGTCTCATCTAGGCTCTCCCACCACGGTGCCCTGAGTGCCTGTTCTTCCCGGTTGGCAGGGAGTGGGAGGGACAGAGATAGACAGTGAGGGCCCCTTTGTGTTTCTCTGCACTGGTTTGTGCCACTGGAGCAGCCAGTGTGGGCCCGTGCTGGGTCCCAAGGTCGCTGACCAAAGGGGACAAGGCGCGGCTGGGGCCTGGGGACCGGACAGTGTCGCAGCATGTCTTGGCATGGAAACTGTGAACACAATTATTAACCTCAGTTTTTCCTGATTCTGAAAATCTATAATTATTATTGTGAAAGCTTAAAAAAGTTGTCTGTTATCCAACACCCATATCTTCTCGTGGTCTAGGGTGGATTGTGAGTTTGGCTCCTGCCGGGGAAGGAGTGGGAGTCTGCTGCTCCAATCCAGTGGGTCTGGGGCTCAGTAGCTCTGTCTGTGGCTTTTCAAGGGTCCTGCCAGAGCAGGAGGTGCCTGTGCCCTGAGTTGTTCTGTCTTATCAGTTGGAGTCAGACCCAGTTGTTGTGATCTGGACTTGACTGCTTTGTAGCTGTGTGCACTGGGGCAGCTCCTTGATGTCTCTGACCCTTTCTACAAATGGGAGGGGTGGAGGCTGCTTGTCAGGTGAGACCACTGAGCCCACATAAGAAGGTCCTCAGCACGGCGTCTGGCACAGAGTTAGTGCTCAGTCAGTGGTTGCTATTATCAGTACTGTCCTCAGATAGAGGAAATGAGGCCTGACCCCGAGGGCAGTGGACATTTCTCTAACCACGTCTGACGTCTGCAGGTCATCCTCACAGGTGGAGCTGGTAGGGAAAGACAACAACCTTTTTTTGGGAATACCACCTTTTATCCTGACTTAATGGAAACATTTCCCTTGTTTACTTTATAGAAACCAGAGTGTGGGGGTTGGTAGGGTTTTTGCTTATTCCAATATGAAAGGCCAGCATTATGCTACCTTGGAAAACCTGGAATTGTAGTTTTGCTTCAGTCTGATTCTCACCTTGCCATCAGTGAGAAGTCGCCTTGCCTGGGTGTTTTTAGGGATGTGGTGCATGGAAGAAAGGATATGCACTTCCTGAGTGGAACCCTTTCATCTTTTCTTCTTTCTTTTACAAAGTCTGGCCCCAGGAACTACATTTGTGGTAGAAAGAGTCATTTTAACTTGGAACTTTGAGGTTAATAGTGAAATTGCAGAAAGGGCAGGTCATATTGAGCTTGTCATGCACACAGAATCAGACGCCCCACAGACTCACATGCCTCCCCGTGGGACACTGCAATCCCAGGGCTTTCAGAGAACGGTTCGAAAAATCTTCCTCTGTACTCATTAGCTTTTTACAAACAAGTCTTTAATCTAAATAAAACTGCATATAGGCAGTGGAAAGGGTGTGGCATGCTAGTGTGATTGCGGCTACAAAGGACTAAATCCGTGACATTGGAGGCGCTGAATGCTTCCTGAGTTCCTCCTGTCTCTAAATTCCATGATTAAAACAATTAACAGATAACCATGAGGCTGCCCTTTTAAAAAGACTACAGAGAAAAAGGATGCATGGAACAGAAAAGGAAAAAAATGCTGAACTCAGGCCAGGAAAAAAACGCACTCAGATATTCCATTGATTTGATTATATCCATGTTTTCTTTTCTTTTTTTTTAGACAGAGTCTCACTATTTTGCCCTGGGTAGAGTGCTGTGGTGTCACAGCTCAAAGCAACCTCAAAACTCTTCGGCTTAAGCAATTCTCTTGCCTCAGCCTCCTGAGTAGCTGGGACTACAGGCGCCTGCCACGCCTGGCTATTTTTTTGTTGTAGTTGTCATTGTTGTTTGGCAGGCCTGGGCTGGGCTCGAACCCATCAGCCTGGGTGTATGTGGCCGGTGCCCTAACACTGAGCTATGGGCACCCAGCCATATATCCATGTTTTCTTAAGTCAACATTTTAGAAAATGACAAATTAAAAAAAAAGAAAAGCTAAAATTTTTTTAGCTTTAAAAGATAGAAAACAGCAAATAAACATGTCCAACAATTCGTTGGAAATCTTATTACCTGTTGCCTTAACTGGCTTTCTTGTGGAAAGCTAAGGCTAATTGAGACTTAGGTTCTATGTTACAATAGTATTGATTGCAGAAGGCAATGTTCAATGTATTGTAGAATGTTAGATGAAGGAGGTCTTTAAAAACATTTTAATTGTGGAAAATTTCAAACTTACACAAAATTAAGCAGAATGGTGTAATAACCTCCCACCCCCAAACGAGACTCCTTCTCTGCAATGAGCCTCTTAATGGATTTCGTCTTTCCCTGTCTCCATTTCTTCTAGTCTCTGGATTATTTTGAAGCAAATCTCAATTTTGCTTTGTACTAGAAATGATGTTTTTAAAAGCCCTTTCAGTAGAAGGTGACAAAGCTGAAAAGAGAGGTGGTCACTGGAGAAAGAAGAAGTGTGGGTGTCTGGTGATGATCTGGCCTTTGTTTTTGTCTGTCTGTCTCTCAGTAGTTACCTCCAAAGTCAAACACACTTATATCAATTTTAACTTCCTCACGCTTATTTAATTCTTTGTATTACTATATGTCATTTAACCTCTAAAGAGATTAAAAACTACACCATTACATTACTCTAAAATTGCATTCTGGGCCAGGTGCAGTGGTTCACACCTGTAATCCCAGCACTTTGGGGGGCCAAGGCAGGAGGATCATTTGAGCTCAGGAGTTCAAGACTACTAACTTGGGCAATATAGAAGACCCTGTCTCTGCAAAAAAAAGAAAAGCCAGGCGTGGTGGTACATGCCCATGGTCCCAGCTATTCAAGAGGCTGAGGTGGGTGGATCACTTGAGCCCAGGAGTTAAAGGCTGCAGTGAGCTATGATCACACTACTGCACTATAGCCTGGGCAACACAGCTAGACCCCTGTTTTTTTAAAAAAGAAAATAAAATAGATTAAAATAAAACAGCCTTCCCAAACATTTTCTGTGTTTGGTCACATCAAGATCATTGTTAAATTTTATCAAGGGCGTATCTTACCAATTAAAGGACACGTTGTATTAAATTATTTGACATTTGGTTTCAAAAGAGGCAAACAGTTTAATTCTTTGAAGAGCGAGGAATTCTACTTAGAAGAGGAACGAGTCTGGTGAATCTGTGTCTCCTCAGTGAATTTTCCTTCTTCCTTTCCCCTTCTCTTCCTCCTCCTCCTTTTTACCTAAGAATATCCCCAATTTTTATTTTCTATTTCCCAACGATAAGTGGTAGATCTTCCCCCTCTCCCTTGTGCAGTAGCACATTCTGCATTTTCTGAAACCAAGAGGAGAAAGAGATTGAAAAATCTGAGTTCTAAATTATGTTGCTCTGTTTTTAGAGACTTAATTTAAAAATAAATTCTGGTGATGTACATTCAGCTTTTCACTCGCTTGTCCCTCTAAACAAGAAAACAACCCTGAATTCCCTTTATATCTTTTTAATTTTCTTTACCTTAAGGTAACTGATTTTTCAGAAAAACATTTTATCTATTTTTCCTAAATAACTAAGATAACCATTCAAAACTCTTTTTTGGTGGGGGGGAGGTCCTGCAATGAAAATAAATCTAGCAGCTTTCTGTCTTTAAGAAAGCAAAAAGTGTTTGCCAGTTCTATTACTGCTTCACATTTTTAAAGTAATGATTTGACTTGCATTTTTAACTTTATTGGTCAAAACATATCCTTTCCTGCCTCCAAACCACTGCTGAACTTGAGTAAATTCTCCTTTTTTAGTTTCTAACGTTTTTTGTTTTGAGTTCAATCAAGGGTCACTGTCCAGTGAGCCTCTCATTTCCTCTCGTGCTGTGTGGCAGGCTGTCATTTTTCAGTGGTTTTGATGTGGTTCATTTCTGAGAGCCACAGGAATTCCACCCAGGGATCGTTTGTGTACCGGGGAAGTAAAGAGCCTCCTGGTGCTCATTTGGCTGGTTTTGCATGAATTAAAAAGAAGGAAATCTCTACTAAGGTCAATGATGAGCTTGTGACTTTCGATGTGTGCAAGTCCCAGTAAGGTTTTATAATTCTGGAAGTCAGCTTTTTTTTTTTTTTGAGACAGAGTCTTACTCAGTTGCCCTGGGGTAGAGAGCCGTGATGTCTTAGGTCACAGCAACCTCAAACTCTTGGGCTCAAGAGATCCTCTTGCCTCAGTCTCCTGAGTAGCTGGGACTACATTGTGACCATCACAATGTGTGGCTATTTTTTTTCTCTTTTTAGGAGAGATGGTCTCACTCTTGCTCAGGCTGGTCTCAAACTTATAAGTTCAAGCAATCTACCCACCTTGGCCTCCCAGAGTGCTGGGATTCCAGGCGTGAGCCACCGCACCAGACCTGGAAGTATGAAGTGGGAAACAGAATGGAAATGCGACTTCCTCTTATCCGTCCTTCCTTCCATCCATCCACCCATTCTCTCATCTAGCGTAGCAAATTCATTAGATAAATGTCTAGACATTTCCCTCTCCTCCCCCTTTTTCTAATTAATTATCTTAGAATGAAATCTAACAAATCCTTAAAACATTCAAAACCAAGCTTGATGGTAACTTTTGGGATATTGAGCCTGAGTCTTCCCCTTTGTGGAGATCACTTTGTTTTATTATTTGCTGAGGAAAGGGGAAATAATTAAATGAATTTAGAGGCAGTTTCTTGTCTTATCCTATAAAATCTAAACCAAATCTGAAAGTTAAGTTAGATTTGCTTAAGACATATGGAAATGCTTTCGTGTGTGTGTGTGTGTGTGTGTGTATATGTGTAAATAGAAAGTAATTGAAAATATAAAACAATTTGAACCATGAGCTGTTTTGAAACCAGTTAATTGTTTTTAGGAAAAATTGGTGGGATTGAGCTGCAGCTACACCATTGCTTGGCAGTTAATATCTTTTCCTACAGAATTCAGCTTCTCACTCCCTTCCTTTTTCCTGTAAACAAGCCTGGGCTTAGAAGCCCTTGCTGGGGTCTTGTCTTTTACCCATAGGAGAACAGATACCCACTTTGTGGGTATAAAGCTGTGTAGCCAGAGTGTGTCTTGCTGTGGGGAATCTTTGGAGAGGATGTCTGTCCTGACAGAGGGGTTTGCCTTTCTCTGTGCCCTGCTGAAAGATGATTCTCCCAATCGCCAGAGGAAAAGAAAGACAGAGACTTTCCCCTATATCTGAGGTCTTCAAAGCCAGGGTTAGAAAGGGAAGACTCATACAAATACTGGTTTTCTTGAACATTCTATTCACAGAGGGAAAATCCATCTTTTCATGGCATCTCATATGAAAATATTACAGAAGCTGGTATGCTTGTGTGGACTTCTTTAAGAAAAAGAACCCATCAGTATATAGATAGATTTTAGCTTCTTAGATAATCTTTACACAATTAGTGGAGTGAATTTGGGCTGTTAGGAAGCCAGCCTGGGTAATTCAAATCCCCCAAATCCACTCTCCTTCTGACGGCCACTTGGGACCTAGTCATTGTTCAGGATAGGCCCACATCTATTTAGGTGTGTTGATACCCAGGGTTTCGGGGGGTGGGCTTAGTCTGGTGTCATCAAAAAACTATGTTATGAGCTACACAAATGCAATAAATTGTTTAAAATCTCTTTCAAAATGGGCAAGGCAAAACTGTTTTTCCATTTAGAACTAATGTACAAGGCTGTTAGATTTGAGTGTTTGTATTAAAGAAGAAAATATTTCTTCCCTTGTGGACACAGACTTTCAAGCTAGAAAGTCACTCAGCTTGAGTAGAAATCAGGAGAAAGTTGCCGTTGAAAGTGACAAGGGAACCCCTGGCATCAAACAGCAGCCGGGCAGTGCAGTGCCTTGTTCTGAATGCATTGATGGCTTTTATGGTTAACAAATGGAAACGTCATTATTTTTATAATTACTTTCATGTCTGCCAGCCTGAACTTACAGGAAGTTATGGAGTCCTCTGTCTGAGGCTGTGCTGCCCACTGCAGGGGGTGGGAGGCCATTCCCCTGCAAATGGAGACTCTGTCCTTCATCTCTGCAGCCTCAGGACCCCTGCCTGATGGCCCCTGACTACTCTGGCTGGCCATGCTGGTCTGAGGTTTAAAGACATTTCTTAAGTCTTTATATGCTGTTGGCTGCCTTGATTTGTTACTTTGCTTATAAAGAGTTGAAGAACTAAATGATATAAAAGCTATTCCTTACTGTACCCTGTAAAATCTAAACCAGAACTGAAGGTTAGACTGATGGGTACAAGACTGTAAATAAAGTTCTACTATTTTGACCCCTCACAACAAATGTCATCAACATACCACCCTTGAACCGGTGAATTCCTTACCCAGTGGGATTCTGGGGTTGTGAAAAGCCTGATGCAAACTCAGACCCTTGTCTGATAGTCTGCCCACTCCTAGTCACGCCAGCAGGAGAAATGTCACAGTTTCTCCAGGTCTTTGCCGTGTGAATTTACCGCACTGCAAACATAAAGAGTGTAATGTTGAGGCAGGCACCCCTGCTCCTCCCTCTGAGTTGCTCGGGTCACCCAGGTCACGTTCAGTCAGGGTGTTAAACGCACACCAGGGGCCAGCGACACGCTGAATGAGTTTACACAGACAGGGCACTTGGCTGCCAGGAACTCAGAGCTGCAAATGAGAAGAGTAAAGAGAACTGTAATAGAACTAGGTAAGTATATCTATAGAGTTATGAGTATAAACGTGAATTCACGATATACGAGTAAACGCAAATAAATGTGTTGGACTTAAGTCACTTATTGAGCGGCCGCCGCCCGGGGGCGCGCGGGGGCCGCGCGGTCACCTGCTCGTGTCTCCGCAGCTCTCTGCGCCATCGTGGCCACCATCTGGTTCCCCGTGTGCGCGCACCGCGAGACCACCATCGTGAGCTTCGGCTACTCCCTGTACGCGGGCTGGATCGGCGCGGTACTGTGCCTGGTGGGCGGCTGCGTAATCGTCTGCTGCGCCGGAGACGCCCAGTCGTTCGGAGAAAACCGCTTCTACTATTCCTCGGGCTCCAGCTCCCCGACTCACGCCAAGAGCGCGCACGTGTAAGAGGCGCCGGCCGGGAGGCGCTGCAGGTGCGGCCAGGGCTGGGCCGCAGCCACCGCGGCGAGAAGCCCGCTCCTCTGCCGGGCTCCGAAGCCAAAGGTCTAGAAAAGCGTCCTGGCGGGCGTTTGTAGTCGTAGCCCCTCCCCCGTCTCTAGCTCCATAATGCCTCACTTGCTTCTCATGGCATTGCCCACTATTAGCTTTTTTTCTGGGCATTCCTTTGTTGTTTATTAAAAATACATGTGTATATATTTTGTTTCTCTCTGAATCTTAATGCCTTGCAGACATTGCTGGGTTGGGTGGGGGTGGGGCAGAGAAATAAAGACACTTTTGACACTGTCACGGATGACAGCGACCCTCTGTCTCCCCCTCTGCAGTTCCAAGGTCATTTACCTACAAGTGATAAGAACCCAGAATTGGGGACACAGGGTGTGGGGAGGGGGGAGGAATCGTGGAACTTTCTCTCCGAGGGAAAGTTTCCCTTTTTAAAGTTGAGGGCAAAGGGTGGGGATATTTTTTAGTTTGTGATTTTACATTTATCTGTACATACTTTTTCAAGATTGATCATTTTTATAACCATGGTTTTCCTGAAATTCTCGATTCGTCAGTATGAAGGAAATGAACCAAGCAGACCCCAGTTATGCAATAAATAACAGTGCAAGGGAATATAACCCTAACAGACAGTCCTCAGAACACTTCTGATTTTAAGATCTGTGTGATACACTTTTTAATCCTACATTTTCCTATGCTTCAATTTACATTTTTAAAGCTTTCCCCCTTTCTCTCTCTCTTTCCCTTCTGACATCCATCTGGGGGTGATGTTGTTTAACTTTAATTGTACTGTTGAATTTGGCTTTACGGGTGTAAACTGATGATGTATCAGTATCTGAGACCCCTAATTCTCCAAACACGATGGTGCATTTTGTTCTTTAAGTGGAATTTGTGCAATAAAATAACAGACTGTCTGCAAAACTGGCCTCAACCTTCTGTTGTATCCAGAGGTATCATTAGTGATTAAAAAAAAAAATCTCATTCATCTCTCCTAGTAATTTATGGAGAACCTGATCAAGAACTCATCATCTCACTTTGTCGTGAATAATTGAAAAGTTATATTTTATTCATGGCATCACGGCGATAATGTGTGGTCATAAAACATAACCCAGACTCTCCGGTTTCCTGTGGAGTGACTCTGTGGCCTCATTAATTCAGAGACCAATGGGCAGCAATCTGAACCCAAGTTCTAAGAATATGCAGTTGAACTCTTTTATCTACTTTGAACACTTAATAAAGGAATTGGGTAAATATAAAGGAAGAATTAAACATTTAATGGGATCTTTAAGTAATAATATCTTAACAGATTTTGTTCAGACATATACATGTAGATGTTGGGAATTTTAAACATGAGCTGATTTTTATTTACTTTCTATTCCAAAAACTCCATCAAGTTATGGGAAGGGCAGGGCACGGTGGCTCACACCTCTAATCCCAGCACTCTGGGAGGCTGAGGCAGAAGGATCTCTTGAGCTCAGGAGTTCAAAACCAGCCTGAGCAAGAGACCCTGTCTCTACTAAAAATGAAAAAACTAGCCAGGCATGGTGGTGCAGCTACTTGGGAGGCTGAGGCAGGAGGATCATTTGAGCCCAAGAGTTTGAAGTTGCTGTGAACTATGATGATGCCACTGCACTCCAGCCTGGGAGGTAGAGTGAGACTTGTCCCTTTGTCTCTCCCTCTCTCACACATATACACACAGCAATGGGCTTGGTCTAAGAAAACAGATTACACTCCATTTTGGCAGACTTTCCCCTAATGCAATGCTAATTTCATTAGCTGATGGTATAATAATTGGTAAACATTTCCTTTCTGGAAATACCCATTCGGGCTGGTCATTTTGCAAAAATGTGAGTACATTAGATTATAACCTGGTGGAAACTATTTCTAAATTACTTATACAGAAAAGACTATATTGACTGAAATATTTGCTAAGCGATAATGTAGTTTTCCTAGGGATATAAGTCATGTGGCTATATTGCAGGACCCTTCCTCCGTCATTAACTTGTCAGGGCATGATGATGGTGAACACTGGAAGGACAGGACAAGGGTGGCTGCAGTCCCCCATGCCTCTCCTCACAACCTCAGCGTGACCCAGAAGCACCTTCAGGCAGTTCTCTCCTCCATGGACACCTGCTCACCTGGCCCTCTCGTGCTGGGCTGTGCTGTGGGAGCCTACTCTGCCGTGCAATGTGAGGAGGGAGACGCCCAAATCTTTCCCAGCTGACTGTTCCTGACAATTAGGGAATCTCATTTTTGTAGACTGTAACTCTGGTGTTGCGAGGTTATCAGTTTGAGCGAGGAGGGTAGAAATTCCTCCAACACAGCTCTGACAGTGGGAACATAAAGTGAGCCACATATGCAACTTAACATGTTCTAGCAGCCATGTTAAAACAGCTAAAAGGAAATGAGTGACATTAGTTTTAACATATTTTACTTGATTTAGTACATCCCAAATATTACCTTCCCACATGTAGTCAATTGGCAGAATATCTCATGTCCTTCTTTTTGTATTACGTCTTTGGATTCCAGTGTGTGTTGACACAACACATCTCCATTTGCACTAAGTATTTCAAGAGCTCGATGGCTGCATGCGGCTAGAGGCCTTGGATTGGAGGCACAGCTGCGGGACGTTAGGGTCTCTTTGGGGCGTGGCAAGTACAACTTACTAAACAGTTATAGTGAGTCTCCCCCAGGAGAAGACAGGAACCACCAGCCATGTGTGAAGTGGCACATCTCTGTGTCAAGAATGTCACACATTTACTCTTCTTCACAGCCTCATTTCATAGATGAGAAAAATAAGATGCGGAGAATTTAGGCTGTTTGTCCAGGTCATATAGCCACTATTGACTCCACTATGTAGAACTAAAGGGGATTTAAGTCTCTGTAAGTCCCAAGCCTTCATGTTCCAATTTAAGAACCACTACAGTAGACTCAGGTAAACCGGAGATTCACTCTCTTCACCCTCTGGAGTCCAACTCAGCAGATTCAAGTTGAGGGTCAAGATTTTAAGTTTTTACTGTGTACTCCTGCGATTGCGAGGAGGGGCCTCCACACCTCTGAGAAACAGGGAAGGCAGGGGCTTCTCTCCCGGGCCTTTCTGTGCGGCTGTCATCCCGTTGGTGCTCGTCTGATGTGGTCGTGGGTCATAGAGCAAACGTCTCCCTCTCCCTTTAGCCTGTTCTGAAGAGACTGAGTGCAAGGGGTCTTCCGTGTGGCAGTGAACCAGTCCTGCTCGCACTTTCCAAGAATTTGATAGAAACTGAACCAGAGAAATTGTTCCAAGGCAATATCTGATTGAAGGGATGTTAGTTATAGTGACAGCAACAAAGAGAGAAGATTGTATACTTAAAGAATACAATTTACATATTTGTGCAGAATCGGTGGTTTGGGGTAACAAAAGAACAAGGTTTGGTTGTATTTTGCCCTCTCTGCGTGTCAGTGTTCCTCTATACAATGTGCACAATGGGAGCTGCGGTGTCTTAAATGTTTGGCAGGACACTCATGCTCATGACATCACATGCTGGGAGGACAGGGAGGCCACTGTGGGACTGGTCCTGAGCAGAGGCACCATCAGAGCTGCCATTGAGATGGCCACAAAAGAGTGTGTGACAGGCAGATGTGCAGCTTGATGGAGACTGAGCCAGGATTGTGGGCAGCACAGTGGCACTTGCTGCTGTGGCCTGAATAGCTGCTCTTGAGGAATCTACGTCCCGCCTCATGCAGACTCAGAGCTCAGGCTTTGTGGCCTTGTGGTGGGGGACGGAGTGGAGATGGAGGGACTTGTCACTGCTCCATGCCCTGTAGTTAAAGTGCAAAACGTGAGATGCCAGCCTTTCTAGGTGGAGGGTACAAATTTCTTCCTTCCAAAGGGCACCTGATGGTCACAGTTGGGGCTTTCTTTAGTTAAAGCAATTACATCTCAATTTCTCTTATGTTGAGTTATACAGCTGTGCTTTCCAAACGGCAGTGTGCACACAAATCACCTGGGGATCTTGTTAAAATGCACATTCTGAGTCTGCAGGTGTGGACAGGGCCTGAGAGTCTGAGTTTCTCACCATCTCTTAGCGGATGCTGGCTTCCTGCGTCCTAGATTCACACCTTGACTGACCAGCCAGCCTCTAGGGTCTATGTCCACCGCAACACAATGTAGACGCTTCCTCAAACATGAGCGGCTGAGACCGGTCCTCAGACTTGCGCAGTGTAACCTGTTGAGGCTCAGACATGCGCAGTGCAGACCTGTCCTCAGAGACACGGAGTGCAAACTTATCCTCAGACACATGCAGTGTAGCTGGTGCCTCTTTTGTGGAAGATACTGGCCATGTTTCTTTGCCCTTCAAAATAATTCTGGAGCCTCTCAGGTAAATAATTCTGGTGTTAGGCTGGGGGTGGTGGTTCACACCTGTAATTCCAGCACTCTGGGCTACTGAGGCAGGAGGATTGCCTGAGCTCAGGAGTTCAAAACCAGCTTGAGCAAGAGTGAGACGTATCTCCACTAAAAATGTAAAAACTAGCCGGGCGTGGTGACAGGCATCTGTTGTCCCAGCTACTCGGGAGGCTGAGGCAGGAGGATCACTTGAGCCCAGGAGTTTGAGCTTGCTGTGAGCTGACACCATGGCACTCTAGCCTGGGAGACAGAGTGAGATTGTCTTAAAAAAAACAAAAACAAAAAAGCAGCACCATGTACGTGCTGCCTGCCTTCTGCTTTGTGGATACCAAGATTCTCCGGCGTGTAGTCAGAGAGTTTACCTACTCGCCTTACACATAGCCGTAGGGAGTCTGTCGTCCTTCCCTCTGCACCCTTTGCCCACTGGATACATCGCAAGTTTCTTGGGTCGGTGTGCAAGGAGTATCGTAGACCTATCTGGCCTTTATTAAAAAACTTCCTTTGGCTCTGAGTAAGAAAAGCAGGCTCTGGATAGATGAAACAGAGAAGGGATGTTTTCTGAGGAGGGGAAGTAGTACAGAATTTTGGGAGAAGAAAACTTAGTTTTTCAGAAAACCAAAATCAGAGAGGGGCAGGCCCTGGTGGACAGTGGTGCTGGGCTGCGCTCCGGGAGGCAGGACCTGCACCTGTCACTTGTCTAAGAGCCAATCACCAGGATGGGAGCCCTGGATTGACCATGGTCACATGTCTGCCCCCAGCCAATCACTGAGCCAGTCTCACAGGCGAGAAGAGGGAGGTTCTCCCAAAGGAATTAAAGTTCGGAGACAAAGAGAACAGGGGTACTGAGAGGGTCAGCGGTAGCACGCAAACCTCACACCAGCATCTGGGGGTCTTATCCAGGTCTCAGCTCCATCACATGACTTCTGTGCTCTGCCTGCGACCTCGTCCAGAGGGTCTGTCGCAAGGGGCCAGTTGTGGCTAAACAAAGGAGGCA